GATTAATAAAGTTAAACATAAAATAAAATATAAATAATCAAATACAAATATTTCGGCCAACGGGCCGGGTTATAAGCTAATTTTTAATTGTTGGCTCCATCCGAGACTTCTTCAACCCCTGACCGAAGAACCACCAAGGAGAAGGCAAAACTGCCCTCGGTGATATCCACCACACCAGCATCAATGTGACATCCTTGTCAACGTCTTGATAATGTAATTGACGGAATCTCTAATGACATTAAAGTTTTTAATGAAAGTGACTAAATTTGTCAAACATTCCAAAATTTAAGCATTTTGTGTATTTCTCATTAACTGGCTATTATTGTGACAAGTTGGTAGTTATGGACTTAGGGCTATGCAAGTGGATTTAGTTAATTCCACCACGCAAAGTTTTTAATCAAGTGTCGTCAAGTCAACAAAAACGTTAGTCCAGTCATCATGTAAACTTACTCCATCAAAACTTCGAACGAAATTGAACATTTTGTATACTTTTAAGAAATTGACTATTATTATTATTATTATCACCAACTCAATAGTTATAACTATGTATTTTGCCTTTCAAATTCCAAAAAAAAAAATCACGTTATTCAAAATCAATACATTGAAACTCCAATTCTGCCAAAACTCATAATATTGACGTGCTATGAATTTTTAAAACCGGTGACAGATAAAAAAAAAATGGTGAGGGTAAAGAGAGTAATTAAAGTAATTCAGTGAAAGGATGTAAGTAAGAACGGTAAAAAGTTAAGTGTTTGCATTTGCTACAAATTACTCGTTAGTACTTAGTAGATTTACATTTGGATATACATATGGATATACATGAATAGAGTATATTAATTAACCTTATCTCCTCTTTTCTTGCGGTGCAAAACTTATGTTTATTCCCAAGAAATTAGATAAAATGGATATATGGATATAATTATCCTTATATCCAATTAATTAGATAAAATGGATTAAGTTCAATCAGATTCCTACCAAAAAAATCTTAGTTTAGATAATAAGTTTTGCAATATTGGCTGCCGGCTACCAGTTTTAAAATAAATATATAAATAAAAAAGGGTGAATGGTCGCGATTAAGTAATTAATTTAATGGAAATTGAATTCATAATCCACCTCAACTTCGATAATTAAAACAAAAAGATTTTTTTTTTTTTTAATCCAACCCAACCACAGTCGCCCCCCTTTTCTATAAATTCCCCCTCTTCTCTTCTGATTCCCTCCTCCATCAATTAAACCCTCTCCTCTGAATTACTTCTCAATCTCCTGCTCTTCCTCTCCGTATCTGTTTCTCTGTCTTTTCAATCAATCCTCTCCCCAAAGATGGCGTCATCAGCAGTTCCCAATGGCGGTTCCGGCTCCTCCTCTCTCATTGTCAGCTTCGGCGAGATGCTGATCGACTTCGTCCCCACCGTTTCCGGAGTCTCCCTCGCCGAGGCTCCCGGCTTCCTCAAGGCCCCCGGCGGCGCCCCCGCCAACGTCGCGATCGCGGTCGCCAGGCTCGGCGGCAAGGCCGCTTTCGTCGGGAAGCTCGGCGACGACGAGTTCGGGCACATGCTGGCCGGGATCTTGAAGGAGAACGGCGTGATCGGGGATGGAATCAACTTCGACAAGGGGGCCAGGACTGCTCTGGCGTTCGTCACTCTGAAGGCCGACGGCGATCGCGAGTTCATGTTCTACCGGAATCCCAGCGCCGACATGCTCCTGCAGCCGGAGGAGCTCAATCTCGAGCTCATTAGATCTGTAAGTTCGCTCTACCGGCACTTGCCTTAACCTTCCGTTTTGCCATTGACCAATTTCTCTCCCCTTTCGCTCTAGTATTAATTGATTATTTAATTCTTTTTACACTGAGTTTTTCGTTGTAATTATTATTGGTATAAAAAAATGATTTGAAAGTAAAAAAAAAAAAAAACAAATAATCGTATTTTCCGCGCGGAGTTCGGTGACGTGGTAGTCACGCGCGGGAGGGTTAGGTGAAGGAGGAGTGTGATTAACACCAATTTAGTAATTTTACTTTTGGAAAGAGGTACTGATTACTTGGGGGATTAGTGGGGTACGGATCTTGCCTATTGCTTTTGTAGCTGATTAGCATATCTTAATTGTAGGATTAAAAAAATAACCGAGTTGGGTTTGTTCCCACTAATTTCGCAATTTACTTAAAAGGCCAGATTCAGGAATTTGTACCGCAGTTAGGGCGTGGGCCCCGGTTTGTTTGGTGTTGTGGTCGCGGAGGGGAGAGGCCTGATCACGTGCGGTCACGTGATCGACTGAGTGTTCTGTTCTCCATAGGCAAGAAAACGCATTACTATGCTCGTTTTTCCTACTGGTTTGGTTTTCTGCTGCGGGAAAGTAAATGGTGGTTTTTCCATTCCAATGGAAAAAAAAGTGAATAGGTGGTTTTGACGTATGGAATTAAATTGCGGGGGCGTCTTAAATTGGCAGTTACGTTTCTTTTGGCATTTTGTCTGTGCTGTCTGTTGTTTTTGGTTGTGACTAATGGCGCTGGGTTCTGGGGCAATGCTTAATTGGTTACTGGACAAATGGTCCAGAAATTTGGCTTGAATTTCGAGTGGCTGTTTTTGGCCAATTGAATCACGGTGTTGGAATTTGGAGTTTGATCGGCGTAGAATTGGCTTGGCTATAGAGATGTGTTTGGATTTTAGGCAGTTTCTCTTTATATATGTTGCGGGTGTCACTTGTATTCTTCCAACTCTACGCAATTTTTTTGTGGGTTTCCTGAAATTTCTGAGCTTTGATCACATGAAAGGGAAAGGAAAAAAGATTCGTTCCAGCTTATGTGGATGATGACATTTTGGATTCATATCAACTCAAATAATCTTGTGCATATAGATTTGAAGGGTTTCTGTCGGAGTGTCAATTCCTTTGCTATATTATTATCTCCACGTAACTACAACCAAAATTGTATCCATGGAGAAATATCTGATCAGGAGAAGAATTCATTAGTCTTAATTAGAGCTCTTGAAGTTGAAGCTAATCTAATGATCACTTGTTTGCTTTTGCTTTTGATTTGTTTTGCTAGGCCAAGGTTTTCCACTACGGATCCATTAGCTTGATAGTGGAGCCATGCAGGTCGGCTCACCTCAAGGCAATGCAGGAAGCCAAGGACGCTGGCGCCCTGCTCTCGTACGACCCGAATCTGAGGCTGCCATTGTGGCCTTCCGCTGAGGAGGCTCGCGAGCAGATACTAAGCATCTGGGACAAGGCTGAGATCATCAAGGTCAGCGACGTGGAGCTCGAGTTCCTTACTGGAAGCGACAAGATCGACGATGCCTCTGCACTGTCGCTCTGGCACGACAACTTGAAGCTGCTCCTGGTCACCCTCGGCGAAAAGGGTTGCAGATATTACACCAAGGTACCGCCCCCCATCCCCCGCCCGTAATTTTCTAATGCTTGCTTGACCTTACGCACGTCTGTTGGGGCAACCATTGAGTAAGAATCCGAATGATCCACAGTGTCAAGCGCGGCCTCTCACGGTCTTTAGTTTATTTCATTCATTTCTTTGCATATGGTTTCTTATATTATTATTTCAGCTGCGTATGGTTTAGTGCGAATCAGTGTGTGTGTGTGTGGAACCGATTCTTTGGTCCTCTGTTTTGTGCTGCCAGATGATGTGCGTGTAGTAGAAAACCATTGGCTGATTCATGTGTGTAACCCTCCATTTGATTAATGTGCTCGGTTGGCCTCCAAATCAGATTTGAATTTGGCAGGAGGGCAATATAATAATAATGCTGATGGCTGCGTGGTCGGCATGGCATGGATATCATTGTTATTGGCGGTGTGGTGGATCTGAGTCGGACTAGCCAACTTGCCTTGCAAGGGAGGGTAGATTAGAGTGTTTAGATCTAATTATATAGAAAATTAATCTCGATGGGCCATATAATGATGGGCGGATGGAGCAGCTGCAAGGCTGTTAATTACCTTTTAGATGGAGTGTTGACAAAATTAATGCTACCTACCAAAGGTGTACCAAATTCACCTAATTGGGTGAAAGTGAAACTAATGATATTTTTCTGGTGTGGTGGTGTGGGGCAGGGTTTCCATGGATCAGTGGAAGCCTTCCATGTGAAGGCAGTGGATACAACAGGTGCAGGGGATTCCTTTGTTGGGGCTCTTCTCACCAAGATCGTTGATGACCAGTCCGTGCTCGAGGTAAATAAAACACGCGTATAGTAGATTTTTACTGTGGTTAAAATGGATAAATCAGTGAGGAGGGGTATAATATGGCTAAAGTAAATTGGTTGTTTGTAAATGCAATGGTTGGCAGGATGAAGCAAGGTTGAGGGAAGTGCTGAAGTTTGCAAATGCTTGTGGGGCAATCACAACCACCAAGAAAGGAGCCATCCCTGCTCTCCCTGCAGAAGCCGATGCTCTCTCCCTCATCAACTCCTCCTCTCAGTAGTAAACATTACGCTGAATGGTGGAGAAGATGTTGCTGCCGGATTTGTTTTCCCTTTTCTGTTTGCCTTTTTTTTCTTCCTGTTTTGGTCGGCTTTTTTACAGTCTCCTTTATTAGTTTACCAACATAAACTTGCTATCAGAGTGAAGAGGCTTTCTTTGCAATTAACCCCATTCTCTCCCCTTCATGTTTCTTTTCTTGGATGGTTTCATTGTTCCTTCCTTCTTGTTATTATTAATGTAATCCATCGAGCAGTTGTGCCTTTCTCAAAGTTGGGCTGGTAGTGTCCATTCACGCCTTCATGGGCTTTCTCTTCTATAATAACGTGTTCAATCTTCAAATGGGCTTAAGCCTGATCTTTGTAACCCAAACTCGGCCCATCGGGGCCCAGCCAATACGAGTGGAGAACTCGAGATGCCTTCGTTTTTTTCGTACCAAGACGGCAAGTTCCCTAACTCGGTTTGCGCCATTACTGACCGAAGCTCAGCCTCAGCTTCACTGGTCTATCTTCCTTTTCAAATCGATCGGGAAAAGAAAAGAGACAAATTGAAGGACCAAAAAGGAAATAAAGAAAGCAGAGAGAAAAATGCGGATATTAGGCCACGTAGCTTCTCCATCCTTCCTCAGCAACGGCACCGCTCTCCTCTTTTCCCCCTCCCTTTCTCTCACATTCACTCCCAGATACTCTCCTCTCTCCACTGTCCCATTTCGCCGCCGCTCCTTCTCCATCGCCGCCGAAATGGCTTCCCCGGTCAAGAAGGTACTCCTTTTCCTCCCCATAACAAGAACGACGTCAATTGGTGTTCAGCTTTCTTCGAGTTCGAATTGGATCATTTGTTTTTTTAATTTGTTAAATTTTTCTGTGGGTTTTAGGTTTTGGTGCCGATTGCCAATGGAACAGAGCCGATGGAGGCTGTGATCACCATCGATGTGCTCAGAAGAGCTGGAGCGGATGTGACCGTAGCTTCCGTCGGGAAGGAGCTTCGAGTGGAAGCCGCTCATGGCGTCAAGATTATCGCCGATGCTCTCGTTTCTAGTTGCGTGGACAACGTTTTCGATCTCATAGCACTTCCGGTACCTTTCTTCGCCTTCCTTTTGTTGCTTCTCAACCTTCGAATGGACTGGTAATTTGTCATTAAGAGTTCTGTTAGTTAGCTGGAATTGAACTACTCTGCTTGGAGACTGAAGTTGAAGTTATTCCGAGTAGTTCTGTTAGTTATTTGCTCCTTCGTTTACCTGAGGAGATGTTGATTCGATAACTTGAGCTTTCCTGGACTCATTTAATTCGAAAAATCTGAAATGATCGCTTGGTATTCACTGCAATTTCTGGCTGCCAATCTCTAAGTATATTCTGTTATAGTCAATCAACTTCAATTATTAAACTTCGGTTTCATCCCAGTGTCCACCTTGATCCTTTAGCTTATAGAGCATAGATTATTTATGTTTTTTTTTTCACACACTGATCATGCTACAACTTCCCCCTTTTGATAATAGCATTACTGATCATGCTACTATTGCACTGTGTGTTGGGCCAAATTTCCGTCCGTTTTGTTTATGATCGAGTGATCAACGGGTTCTATTGTTTCAACATGTAGACTGACCTAGTAATTTCAGCTTGTAATATGAATTTCATTGTTGCTATATAAACAGGGCGGCATTCCAGGTGCTGCAAATTTGAGAGATTGCAAAGAGCTGGAAACCATGGTCAAGAAACAAGCTTCAGAAGAACGGCCATATGCTGCAGTCTGTGCCTCTCCCGCAGTGGCACTTGGTTCATGGGGTTTGCTGAAGGGGCTAAAAGTAACCCGCTGAAATTGAAAGCTATAGCTTCTTTACTTCGCAATATACGAAATTACCGAAAGTGCTTATGGATTTCACTGGTTTTGGACCAGGCAACATGTTATCCGTCCTTCATGCAGGAACTGCAGCAGTCCTCTGCTATTGCTGTTGAATCAAGAGTGCAGAAGGATGGCATCACAGTTACCAGCCGCGGTCCTGGCACAACAATGGAATTTTCTGTAGCATTGGTTGAGCAATTGTATGGAAAAGAAAAGGCTAACGAAGTTTCAGGGCCATTGGTATATGTCCCTCTTCTATATTTGTATATCTTTTACACCACTAACTAAATTAGATAAATCTCTTAATTGCCGTACCTGCACTTGGTGATTATTTCATCAGATTCATCATTTGCATACTGGCTTTTGTTTGTGAAAGTTCTGGTTATTATTGCATTGTAGTGGGGATTTCTCAAGTGCTTCTAGTGACTGAGCAAGATTTTTATAATTCAGGTGATGCGTCCCAACCATGGGGACGAGTACACTATCAAAGAGCTAAATTCAATCCCTTGGACAACTGAAGATAACCCACCGCAGGTGAGTGAGGAGCACTTGTATCATTTACTATGAGCGATAGGTTTCCTTGGGAAGAGTAGACGACCAATGTTTGAGAGTTAATATATGGTTTTGCTCCTCTTAGGTTCTTGTTCCCATTGCAAATGGCTCCGAGGAAATGGAGGCCGTTATGATCATTGACATTTTGCGAAGAGCTAAAGTGAATGTTGTAGTGGCTTCTGTTGAGGAAAAACTGGAAATACTAGCTTCTCGTAAGGTTAAGCTGGAAGCAGATATGCTGCTTGATGATGCTGCTAAATTGTCATACCACCTTATTGTCTTGCCAGTAAGTAGTGTCAACTTCCTTTCTCCTGTACTGAACTTCTTATGCGTTTTTCCTTGTAATGGTTCTGTGTTTTTCTGGATTGTTCAAATCGGGTTGTTACTTAGCCTTCTTTTACATCTTACAGGGTGGACTCGGGGGAGCTCAAGCATTTTCGAAGTCGGAAAAATTGGTGGATCTACTAAAGAAGCAACATGGATCAAATCGTCCATATGGAGCTATATGCGCTTCTCCAGCTCTGGTCTTGGAGCCTCATGGGCTTCTCAAGGTATCATCATTTTCTTTGGCAATCTCTGTTTGTTATGGGTTGCTCAATATCATATTTTGGTTGGTTGAAATTTGAAAGGTGGGTTTGTCTTCATATTTGTCCATGATTGTAGGGGAAGAAGGCTACAGCTTTTCCGGCCATGTGCGAGAAGCTATCGGATCAGAGTGAAGTTGAGAACAGGGTAGTGGTAGACGGCAACCTGATCACGAGCCGAGGCCCGGGAACTTCAATGGAGTTTGGCCTGGCGATAGTGGAGAAGATTTTTGGACGCGACAAAGCGATGGAGATAGCTAAGGCCATGCTTTTCACTGTCTGATTCACAAGATATTAAAGCTTCTTGTTTTCTGTTGTTTTTTTTTTTGGGTGAAAGTGTTTAGATATAAGTTGCTGCAGGAACAGGTACTTGTTGATCCTCAACTGAGTTTTTGTCTAAACTAATGCTACATGCGGAGTCTTGGGAAATGTTCTTCTTTGCGCTGTAATGCGATCTTTGGTCTCCTGCCTTTGCTCTATCTTTTACCTTGTAGAAAAGGAAGTACATATAAATAAAAAGCTGCAGTGTTTATGAGGAAAAAAAATAGTGATCTTTGGTCTCCTGCCTTTGCTCTATCCTTTACCTTGTCAAGACCCTACAAACATGATGCCACCCCAAAAGGTTAATGTGCATCTATCAACTCCCCAGCACGCTAGTGTTGAGCATGTTGTCGTGCAAGGGTGGCCAACATGAGTTTCACGAAGGCATCAAACGTCAAGACGACGCCAAACAAGATACCTCAACGACACAAGGTGTCTACCTACGAAGAAAAGGCGTCAAGCTATCAAGGTACTAAGGGGTCGTTTGGATGTGGAAATGTAATGCAGTAATTGGATCCAATTACCACAATTACCACATAACGCAGTAATTGGGTTAAAAACCCATGTTTGGGAGAGCAAAAATGATATGGAAATTGGACCATGGAAATTGGCTTCAATTACCACATTCATGGGAATTGAGAATACTACACCTCCCTCTAGTAATTTGACATTACCACGTTTTCTTACTTCTTTTTCTAAATTCCACACCATCAATTCGCACAAAACTAAACCCTATCCAAACGTGAATTTTTTTTAATTTCCACAAGTCAATTCCTTGGTTTTGTACAACATGGAAATTCAGACAAATTTCAACGTTTTAAAATTTCCACATCCAAACGACCACTAAGCAGTCTATAGATTGGGTTTGCTTTTTATCAAGTTAAATTGCAGTAACTAAAGATTGCGTCAAAAACATGATTGTCACGCCGGTGGAATGTAAGCCGGTTAAACCTGGTATAATTGATGTCGATCATAAAACGAATGGAATACCACCGGCATGATTAACATGATATGATTTCCAACCTCTAAACAAAATGATGCAGTTTTAGAGACTTTAACTAAAAAAAAAATTTGTGATTTGTTATGAATTTGAAAGTTAAATGTTGATGTTATTTGTTGGATTCAAGTATAAATTTTTTTGGGTGTTGATGTTAAATATTGTATTTAAATTTGAGCATTTGTTACGTTATTTGGAATGTTTTATCTATTTAAATATGAATGTAAATAATAAGTACATTGTTTTGGAATATTATTTTTATTAATACTTAAAGTCATTTGATCTTATATTTATGCATATTATATTAAACCAACATAAACCGATATCATACACTTGATAAACCGGCTCCATACCGGTCTGACAAGTGACAAGCTTGGCCAAAAACTCTTCCCTCGAAATTCACACTATTCTCCCACCCTTTACTTCACTTTAGGTCAAGACGTCAAGTACATTCGCAGCCGGCCGACAGCCACAACGACGGCGCTTACCATCACCGCCGTTCGTCTTCGCGTCGCTACTTCGTGGACTCAACGGCCGTCGAGGCACGATTCCTCTTTTTAGAAGCCATTATTCCACTTCAAAACTGCTGCCCCACCTTCGCGATTAACTTCTAATTGGCCGAAGGTGCGGATTCTCCCATTTCTCGCGTTCGTTCGTCTGTTTCTTCGCAAAACTCTTCCCTCCTGCCTTCGAAGCTTGGGGAGAAGGAAACAAAGTTGCATACTGTTCATGCTTGTTTTTATTTATGTCCTCCTAGCGTTTCGGCTTCCTAATGTTTTTTTTTTCCCGCGTACGATTACTGAATTCCTCAGAGAGGCTAGGTATGGCGTGGTGGAAAGGCATTGATGAAACTCGTCTCCTCGTTGCACCAGGTTAGATTGATTCGCATCTCTGTCTTTCGCTGAAGCAGAAAGGTCAAGATGAAAGGCTTCATCTGTCTGTCTGTATTCCTAGTGCGAAAACACTTTTTTTCCTCCAGTTTAAGCCTCCGTTTGTTGGTGGGCTCATTTAGTTTGGTTTCTTATGCCTTGTATTGCTTTGACTGTGTACAGATCCTGCTGGAAATGAAACCGGCTCGGGGTGTTTGTTATCACTTCGGCATCCAAAATCAGGTCATTGCATATGCGAAATATCATCTGCAATATGGTGAATTATCCCGTGCTCATGTGCATTGTTGTTACAATTGTTGTTCTTACACACGGCTGGCTTTTTTAGTTTTGCTGTTGTACCCGTAGTAGGAAGATTTGTGCAATTGGAAATTGTAGCTATTTCATACATATGGTGCAATTATGAGATTTCTGATTTGTGGGAATCATTCACCTTTTGGCAGGGAACAAGGCTTGCTATCGTCTTGCTAGTGGAGGACTCCAAGAACTTCACTTGTTCAAGCAGTCGTATAGATCTTGGTTTCTGGGAGATTATGTTTGTGAAGGTAGATGTACTTGGTTTAAGGATGTCCTAATCTTTGTTTTCCCCCCTGTAAGTAGTTCTATAGCTGTTTTGTTGTTTTCTTGATAGCATGAGCAATAAGCTGCGATAGGATAGCTTTGTTTAGGTCTGGTGAAGAGTAATAAAGTTTTAGTAGTTGTGTTGGTTACAGTAACGTGATTGCTACTCGTATCATATGTTATTATGTCAATGGCCACTATGACATGTAGAGTAGTACGCATCATGTAGCGTTGGAGTTCTATCAGATCAACCCTGTATCCAGTACTCGGAATGTTTGGGGAAAAAAGTAACAAGCTGTTTCACCTTTATACCTTCAGAAGTAAAATGGAGGTGGCATTCATACATAGATCTTTAAGCCATATTGTGCTTACTAGAATACTTTTGTTTGACCCGGCTGCCCTAAGCTACTGTTGAATTTCTTCCTATTTTTGGGTTTTTTGTTCTTCACCTGAATTTTCTGTTTTCCTTACACAGACGGGGGCATATATTTTGCCACCTCAGTTGATCCAGTCTTCATTTTGTTGCCCATTTTTGAGGAGGCTAGGATGAAGGTTAGAATCTCATCCATTATTCTCGTTAACCTTGATTCCTTTGCAGTGATGTAATAATTTATTGGAATCATTGTTGGTGATTATAATTTTTCTAGGAGGCTGCATTTAGTTATGCTTTAGATATTCTCGCTTCACTGATTTTCTCTCATTTGCAGAAAGGGGATGATCTCGGAAAGTTCAGGCCATTAGATGAGATCATATTCATTGATGGCTATCCTGGATATCATCAGTTAATGTCAATTGCAGAAAACTGTATGGGAGTAGTTTGTGAAATCAAAGGTTATATGTCTGTTACTTTTACCAGTTGAAGTTGTTATCCATAAATGTGCGTTTCAATTTATCTTAGCGAGCAAGTGACATTTTCTTTTGATGCGTACAAGCAGAATACTTATGCTGCTACTTTGACTATTAAGCAACACTGCTATTATGTCAAGTATTGTTCCACTGATCACTACTTATTTTCTGTTTGCAGCAATTGGATCTTCAAAGTTCTTTCGACTAGATGATTCAAAAGTCTTAGCTTGGCTGCACTGCAAGGTCTGATTTCCGAAACTGATATGTCTCTTTGTTCTACGTATTTATCATTCCACTTGTATAAAATGCCTAGGTCACTGTTTACTGACTTTTGTTACATTTCTAAGGTCTCTGAGTTTAAACTTAAAATTTATTAGTACAACACTGCTCTTGTACATTTCTAAGGTCTCTGAGTTTAAACTTAAAATGCAGGTCTCCCAACTAAAACAGACTTTTCCATCGCTGGATGAAAAGTATGCCTCAATGGACGAGCAGACTACATGTAACTATCAGATACAACTTATCCCATTGTTGATCCTATTGATTGATGTCTCTCTCAGTTCGCTTTTCAGATGTAGCATTTTTCAGGTCATCCATATCAGTGTCTTTTTGTGGCACTTATTAGACATAGATAAAATATATCATTATGTTGGTAATGTCTTCAGGCCTTTCTTTTGGTTTTGGATATATCTTCACAAGAGAGGAGGGGTGGGTCTATTTCACTTTGCCTAAACAGTAGTTATATAGAAGATCATATAACGATGTTTTCCCTTCGACAGCATATTTTGCTGGTCTTGAGTTTGTGTCTGATGTGCTCAACACTAGTGCAAATGTCAAACCCAATCCTTTTTTTTTCCTTTCGACATTTACTTTCTCGAGAAGCCGACTTGGCTTGTTAAAATGGAGCTGTTTACTTTGCTGGTGCAGTATCTGAATCAGTTAAGATAGTGGGGGAGTACGTGAAGGATGAGCCTTGGTTGAAGCTCTTGTGCAAACGATTGAAGTATTTCCTTTGCCTTTCTCTTCCTCTGTGAATGAGCTGCGTGCCTGAACGTGTGTTTGTTACATTAAAATTCTATGTTTCGATCTGGCTCGTCCAATTTCCGTTACAGGATAGATTTGATGGAGTCGACGAAAACAGGGCCGGATTTTGAGAGTTCTCTAGCCAGTAAAGAAAGCAAGCTACTGCAGCAGAGATGTGACTCCTTCCAGGTACGTCATTCACTGCAGTTTGAAACACAATTCCCTTCGTAGTCAGGATTTGTGTTCCGGCGTATTGCAATCCTGTGGTTTTGTGTTTATATAATCAGGAGGGGAGTGGCAACAAAGCGAAGAGAGGTGGAAAGCAGGCGAAGAAGCCTAAGTTGGAGACGCAATCCCGAAACATCAAAGATATGTTCTCCAAGAAGAAAAGCTAATGACTGGTTTTTTCCTGAAGTCTCGTGTAATGTGTAAAATGCAGCATCTCGTGTCGACTTCTGCTAATTGGTTTATACGAGACATAGAGCTAAGTGACACAGCCAGCGCCCAGCAGTGATGGTGAAGTTCCGTTAATTATTGGTAATTTAATATATATAAACCTAAAGTAGGGTTACTGTTGCCTAATTCCTACACCAGCTAATTAATGGGCTTCCTAAGTAGGGTTACTGTTGCCTAAGTCCTACACCAGCTAATTAATGGGCTTCCTACTAATTCCTACACAGCAGCTAACAAAATGGGCTTCGTTGTATTTTTGGGCTTAGTAACAACCATTTATTTTATGGGCTGCAGCAGGCCCTTTAAATTTATTTTATGCGGCTTTGTTTTTTGGCCAGACAGCAGAGCTGTAGGATTTTTTAAATTCTCTAATGGGGTTTCTGTTTCTTTCTCTTTCTATCATTGCGATTGGGGTTTGCTTCTTCTCTAATGGGTTTCTGTTTCTTTCTCTTTCTATCATTGCGATTGGGTTTTGCTTCTTCTCTAATGGGGTTTCTGTTTCTTTCTCTTTCTATCGTTGCGATTTATCTTTCTATCATCATTGCGGTTTAGTTCTCACATTCTGGTTGGGAATTAACCCATGTGATGAGACAGAGGTTACCCTTGATTATACAGGTGTCGACGATTATTTATAGGGTTTCTCTCTTTCGATCGTTGCGATTTAGTTCTCATTCAGGTTTGAAAATTTATCTGCGATCTCATTCTGGTTGGGAATTAACCCTGTGATTAGACAGGGGTTAGCCTTGATTATACAGGTGTCGATGATTGGGTTCCTCATTATGCAGGTGTCAGCTTAAGGATTAACTAGGAGCATGTGTTGCCTATCGTGCTGGCCTACAATTAGTGGTTCAATGGTTGCGGCAGGGATTACCCGGGTAAGATTTCTTCTCCCTTTTTTGTAGGTTAAGCTTCTGTAGTGTTTTGAGGTCGCCTATAAATTGTCGTCGGCATGGGAGTTTTTCTTCATCGCATCTATTTGTATCTCCTTCTTTGGTTAATTATACTCTTGAGTTTCTAATCATGGCTTCTTGCCTGTTGTCTACTCTTCCTGATGATCCACGAGATTGTGCTCTACAACTTCGGCTTTTGCATGCGTGGAAGTCTGGGGATCCTTCCGTTCCCGATCAGTTCTTTGCGTTCTCAACTCTCTGGGTTGATGCCTCGGTAAGTTTTTGTTATGTTTTGTTATATTGTCTCTTTGTGTATTCGTAGGTTGAGACTTGAGTCCCATGTTCTACATGTAGAGATCACATAAGGCTAGAGGAAAGGAGAGATCGCCGCGGGGAAATACGGTGGATTCGTCCAATAAGCAATTGTTACTATTGGGTTCTTGGGGAAATACGACGGGTCCTTTGAATAAGTTTTTACTTCTTTTGGGTTCTGAACAAACTATATTAGTTCACTGAATCAATCAATGATTGGGAGAATGTATATTCTGATATGTGTTGTCTCATTCCAAAACTGATTCCATTTATAGTCGTGATCATATTTTTGGCTTTTATCCTAATTATGAGAGGAATTTGATGTCAATTTTCTGCCTGCAGGGTACTTTTATTGAGGGGATTTCACATCGTTCGTTTGCAGAAGCCTTGAGTGGCTGTCTCAGCATTGGCTCTTTGTATGTGATTCGAGAGTTTGCAATGTGTGATCCGCAGGCTTCTTTTCGGGCATGCAACTTCCATCGGTGTTTGGTGATCACTCCAGCAACAAAACTTGAGGATGTAACCGCAAGTTCAATTGGTTTCACTACCAAATCATTTCAGAAAGGAGGTATTACTACTGTTCAGAAAGTTACCATCAAAGATCATAGGTACGTATGTTCTTGATTATTTATGGGTGTCTACTTCGTTTTAACTCTTTGGGTTTCCTATTTAATTTGCTTACTTTATTTTGTTTCTTATAATTATTTTACTGCAGCGGGATTTCTCTATGTATTTGGATGTGGGGATCATTTTCGTCAATACTTGATGCACGGGGCCTTGGTTGACCTCGGTCGTAATGAGGCTGTTGTATTGGCGTTTGGTGGTCTCACTATGACTCAACTCCGTGGTTTGTTTTCCTATTCTTTTCTGTTTGATTTTTTTGCGGTGATATGTTGTGCTGTGTTTGATGTATAAGCGTATTGCAGGAGAGGTTAACGGATCTAGCACTTCTAGCACACGTGTAGTTGTCAATCCACTTATTCATGAGGCTGATGCTATAAAACTACGGTAATGCGTGTGGGTTTATGTTTAACTCCTTATATTCAGAATGTTTAATGATCATCTTTGCTATTTTAGTTGTTGATATTGATTTGAATTTTTTCTCAGTTATACCACTGAGGTTGGTTCAGCAAGGTATATTGTGTTTGATACGGAGGACAAAATCAGACAATATCTATATAACTCTTTCCGTACAATCGAGGAGCTCCACCAAATTCTTGCTTCGGATTATAATCCGGTAAGTTATCTTAATGAACATATGTCAAACACTAACCTGCAGTTTAACTTTAATTAACACTTAAGGTCAAATAAATCCATTTTGTAAAGTTACAAATTAAAAATTCTTAACAAATTTTTTTAACTTTTTACAAATATCACCTCATCCAACCCTCCCGTCGGAAAACCAATAAGATTTGTAACTTTACAAACTTTATTTGTAAATTTACAAATTACAAAGTTATAACAAAATTTCGCAGCTTAAAAATATCACCTCGTCTGGCCCTCCCGCCAGCAGCCTCTACGATTTGTAATTTTACAAATCCTATTTGTAAAGTTATAAATTACAAATGTTTAACAAAATTTCTTAACTTCTTACAAATATGACATCACACCAGCCCTCCTGCCAATAACCCAATTTTATTATGTGCGGGTTTGGTGGGTTGCTCGTTTGGCCAAAGCCTATCGGCACCGAGTGGCGTAAAACGATGTCATAAATGTGTCACTTTACAAGTTGCTCTAGACAACTCTTACAAAGTTTCATTGCTTTGCAAAATGTGTCACTTTACGGAATGTTACACATATTTTTAACTACTTTAAATTAGGTAACATTTTAAGCAACATTATTATCTTTTTAAAAACCCTTCAATTTCAATTGCTAAGACATTTGTAACTTTTACTATTACAAACTTTGCGTACCCTTTTTACAGTACGATGATATGTAATTTATTTGAAATGTTTGTAATTCATACAAATTATTAACATAATATAATTTATTTGAAATGTTTGTAATTCATACAAATTATTAACATAATATATCAGAATCCTCTTAATGGTTTTGATAAACTTACAAATTATATGAAGATTTGGTAATTTTACTTTTTAAGAATTGTATTGGAGTTGGAAGCCATGTAGATGATTATTGGCCTTGACGACTAGCTGTGAAAGTGGGTCGGGTAATAAGGGTTTTTTTGGGTCATGGGTCAAACCTAGCTGGATAGGGCCGAGTATTTTTCTTGTCTTGGCCCGACTCTATTCAATCATTGACCTTTTCTGACGCACGCGGGTCAAGCTGGGCCCTGTCGGGCCAATGGGTCTGCCCAAGTATACAAGTCAAATTAGTTTGGCCACTGAGTCAAGCTGGGCCACTGAGAGTCGTTTGGATGGATCAATTTAGAAATGAGTCAATTTGATCAATTGTTTCGTTTTATAAACGAGACCATTAAAACGAGTCAATTCGAATTACCTGCCCCCACCTCAGGTAATTGAAATTCACTCAAAACGGATCAATTCAAAATACCTCAGGCAGATTGATCCATCCAAATTTTTTGCTGGCAAACGAGACAATTGTGTCAAATTGATCCGTTACAATTCCTCATCCAAACGACCCCTCGTTTGGATGGATCAATCTATAAATGAGTCAATTTGATCAATTGTCTCGTTTTATAAACGAGACAATTCGAATTACCTGCAGCGGCGGATCTAGGGCTGGGCCGTGGCCCAGCCCTCCTCTGGATTCAGAGTTAGTACAATTTTTATAAATTTCTCGATGTTGGGTATTTGATCCAGTGATATTTAGAAGTCGGTCGAGTGTTATTTGAAAATGATATTTTGTGTAATTAGAAAAATTGTCTCATATCCAAACCACTACTCTAAATTTAGCTTAGAAATTCAAGTCCGAATGATTTCCTTTTGAAAAAAAAAAAAAATATCTAAAAACCTGAAATGTAAAAGACTAAGTATAAAGTTTCATTAAAAAAAAAATACTAATTATTAGCCAAGCCATTCCTGCATTTTTAAATATTAGCCATACCTTTCGAAATACAAAATATTAGCCAAATTTTTTGCAATGCATCAAAATATTAGCAATTTTCTGTTATCGTTCATAATTTGTTAACTATTTTCTTATTTAAAATACTAAAAAGTTTTGGAATGCTGGCCTCGATGTGTTTCTTCCGAGTCAGTATAATGTTGCCAAGTCAATAATACTAACAAAACTGCTAATTGAAAGTTATTATTTGTCTAATATTTTCAAAGGTTTGGTTAATATTTAAATATGCGGAAATGTTTGATTGATAATTAGTATGTATGCTATAAAAAACCTCTAAACGAAAGTCCACATGGAGATTTTATTATTGATAGATTTGTGAAATTAACGATCTTCTAAGAAAATTGGGATTAACGAATGAAGATTTATTTATTATATACTTTTATTTATGATATCTAATATTTCATTCAAATACGGTCCAGTGCTTTACTATGTCCTGGATCCGCCGCTGATTACCTGCCCCACCCCAGGTAATTGAAATTGTCTCAAAATGGATCAATTCAAAATACCTCTGGCAAATTGACCCATCCAAATTTTTTGCTGGCAAACGAGGCAATTTGGTACAATTGTCTCAAAACGAGACAATTGTGTCTAATTGATACGTTACAATTCCTCATCCAAACGAAATTGTTCTAAAAAAATAACCCACAAGGCCATTTCGTTTCTTTTCTTCCCTTCTTCCCATTGAAAATAATTCTCATATATTTTCGAAGACATACATGAGTTTGGTTATAATGCGTAAATGACTTATGTGAAAAGCTGCGCGAAGCCGATCAATTAAAAGACACACTTCATAAATGGCTGAGATCGTTGCAGGAGGGAAGGTAGTGGATTATGGGCCTGCCAGTCTGAAAAGCTTCTGCGATCTGGGCCCAGTCGGCCACATCGTCGACTTCAGCCACTTTTCTCAGCCTTACCAAGTTTCCCGCCCAAGTTGGAAATAAAATTTATAACAAGTTAAACCCTAATCGACCTTTTCACCTTCCTCGATTCTTCACCGCTGCAAGCAGCAACTGCCGTCGTCGTCAATTTCCTCTTCTTCCTCGTCACCAAATTGTCAATTTCCTCTTCTGTCGTTGTTGTTTGCCGCCTTCTTCTTGCTGCGACTTCCTCCCAGTCCCTGCTCGGCTCCTTGATCGTAGCCATCAGTTTCCGCAAATGGGTCGCCCCAATAAGAACAAGTAATACTTTTTTTCTTGGTTAACATTTACACTTAAAAGAGATACAGCTGCATCCTTTTAATTGTTACTGTTTATGCAGATATCTCTATCTGTATTGTAAACATTGGGTGCAGGATCAACGATTTTGGTGTGCTCCAATTCGGGTATTTGATGCTCTAGTAGATATTGAAAATGATAAGAAAGATTTCTTGGTTCAGAAGGGATTTGGGAAATTCTTTGGTGTAGTCTTGGACGAGTTTGATAAATATATGGGTTCATGGATTAACAACCAATATAACACCACTGATCATACCCTCACACTTCCCAATGGAACTGTGCATCATGTGGTGGAAGATGATTTTGAGCTTGTGTATGGGCTGCCCAGAGGGGATACGGAAGTCCCTAGTCCTACCATGAAAACCGACCCTGGTTCATTATTTCCTGCAACTCTGTACGAGTTGGGAGATGCAGTGAAGAGAACTCGTGATGTCGAGACCTGGTTCAAGTTGTTTTTTGTGTTCTTAATCAACTCTCTCTGTATTGGTTCGAGTCATGATGTTGAGAGAAAGTTTGGGCATCTTGTTAGTAATGAAATGTTGTTGAGGTTCAACAACTTCAACTGGTGTAAGTACTTCCTCCAGCTATTCAAATATACTATTGCTTTTGAACCTAAAGGAAATCGTCGTGCTGATTATTATTTCCTTGTGGTAAGTTTCATTTTTTATTATAATTCATATATCAGTGGGTTTGCATATATTGGTTTTCTTTTTTGTATTAACCGTGTTTTGTTTTGTTTGTTTTTATTATTGAAGGTTCTGTATCTTGTTAAATCAAACAAGACCAACAATTCAGATTGCTTGCTGAGTGGCTTCCTAGTAATGTTGTGAAAGAGAAACTGAATAAGGCAATAAAGGAGGGCTGCATTCGTACGCATACTGACATTGATGCCATTCTTCTCGAACTTGAACGTGTCGAAAAGGAGGCTAAAAAAAAGCCCAGGGTTCTACAACATGTGGCGATGTTTCTGCTATTATGTGGAAGAAGATCACAATTTCAATACCTGAGACTGTGATTTCTGAAGTTAAGAGTTATGAAGAGGTAATCTTCCCCCCCTGTCATGTTGGTTTTTGACAAGTTACTTGGATCAATTATTAGTAAGGAATTATATTGTCTCCGCATAACTAACAGAATGTTTAAGCTTTCCATAAAACAAAAGGCAAGATAGAGAAAAGACCGAATTTTTAAGCTAACCAACCTCTGCTTCTTCTTTTTAACTGTCAAAAAAACCCCTATGTTTCTTCTCCTTCCTGTATAAATAGCACTGCCCTCCGAACCTCCTATTTTGCAGGCTATCTTGTTGGAGCAGCAACTAAAGGAAAGTTGTGATAACTGTCATGTTGCATTTGAGGCACTTGATGCATCCATGGAAAAGGTTAAGAAATTAATCGAATTGGAAAATCAGAAACAACAAGCTGCACAAAAAGAACGAACCGAGAATGAAGAACCCCAGTCTGATCGTTAACATGCCTATGGACAAAGGTGGTGAAGAAGAAAACATAAGGACGATAGAAGAAGGCAGCGAGAAAGGAACAGAAGGAACTGTTTCTAATGATATTAGGTTTCGGTGTTTGGTAACTATTCGTGACGTCAAAAAGCATCAACAATGGACGTACCGAGCATTGTTATCATTAGAAACTTTTTGACGTCACGAATAGTTACCAAACACCGAAACCTAATATCATTAGAAACAGTTCCTTCTGTTCTTTTCTCGCTGCCTTCTTCTGTCGTCCTTATGTTTTCTTCTTCACCCCCTTTGTCCATAGGCATGTTAACGGGATCAGACTGGGGTTCTTCATTCTCGGTTCGTTCTTTTTGTGCAGCTTGTTGTTTCTGATTTTCCAATTCGATGAATTTCTTAACCTTTTCCATGGATGCATCAAGTGCCTCAAATGCAACATGACAGTTATCACAGCTTTCCTTTAGTTGCTGCTCCAACAAGATAGCCTGCAAAACAGGAGGTTCGGAGGGCAGTGCTATTTATACAGGAAGGAGAAGAAACAGAGGGGTTTTTTTGACAGTTAAAAAGAAGAAGCAGAGGTTGGTTAGCTTAAAAATTCGGTTTTTTCTCTATCTTGCCTTTTGTTTTATGGAAAGGTTAAACATTCTGTTAGTTATGCGGAACAATATAATTCCTTACTAATAATTGATCCAAGTAACTTGTCAAAAACCAACATGACGGGGGGGGAGAGATTACCTCTTCATAACTCTTAACTTCAGAAATCACAGTCTCAGGTATTGAAATTGTGATCTTCTTCCACATAATAGCAGAAACATCGCCACATGTTGTAAAACCCTGGGCTTTTTTTTAGCCTCCTTTTCGACACGTTCAAGTTCGAGAAGAATGGAATCAATGTCAGTATGCGTACGAATGCAGCCCTCCTTTATTGCCTTATTCAGTTTCTCTTTCACAACATTACTAGGGAAGCCACTCAGCAAGCAATCTGAATTGTTGGTCTTGTTTGATTTAACAAGATACAGAACCTTCAGTAATAAAAACAAACAAAACAAAACACGGTTAATACAAAAAAGAAAACCAATATATGCAAACCCACTGATATATGAATTATAATAAAAAATGAAACTTACCACAAGGAAATAATAATCAGCACGACGATTTCCTTTAGGTTCAAAAGCAATAGTATATTTGAATAGCTGGAGGAAGTACTTACACCAGTTGAAGTTGTTGAACCTCAACAACATTTCATTACTAACAAGATGCCCAAACTTTCTCTCAACATCATGACTCGAACCAATACAGAGAGAGTTGATTAAGAACACAAAAAACAACTTGAACCAGGTCTCGACATCACGAGTTCTCTTCACTGCATCTCCCAACTCGTACAGAGTTGCAGGAAATAATGAACCAGGGTCGGTTTTCATGGTAGGACTAGGGACTTCCGTATCCCCTCTGGGCAGCCCATACACAAGCTCAAAATCATCTTCCACCACATGATGCACAGTTCCATTTGGAAGTGTGAGGGTATGATCAGTGGTGTTATATTGGTTGTTAATCCATGAACCCATATATTTATCAAACTCGTCCAAGACTACACCAAGGAATTTCCCAAATCCCTTCTGAACCAAGAAATCTTTCTTATCATTTTCAATATCTACTAGAGCATCAAATACCCGAATTGGAGCACACCAAAATCGTTGATCCTGCACCCAATGTTTACAATACAGATAGAGATATCTGCATAAACAGTAACAATTAAAAGGATGCAGCTGTATCTCTTTTAAGTGTAAATGTTAACCAAGAAAAAAAGTATTACTTGTTCTTATTGGGGCGACCCATTTGCGGAAACTGATGGCTACGATCAAGGAGCCGAGCAGGGACTGGGAGGAAGTCGCAGCAAGAAGAAGGCGGCAAACAACAACGGCAGAAGAGGAAATTGACAATTTGGTGACGAGGAAGAAGAGGAAATTGACGACGACGGCAGTTGCTGCTTGCAGCGGTGAAGAATCGAGGAAGGTGAAAAGGTCGATTAGGGTTTAACTTGTTATAAATTTTATTTCCAACTTGGGCGGGAAACTTGGTAAGGCTGAGAAAAGTGTCTGAAGTCGACGATGTGGCCGACTGGTCCCAGATCGCAGAAGCTTTTCAGACTGGCAGGCCCATAATCCACTACCTCCCCTCCTGCAACGATCTCAGCCCTTTATGAAGTGTGTCTTTTAATTGAACGGCTTCGCGCAGCTTTTCACATAAGTCATTTACGTATTATAACCAAACTCATGTATGTCTTCGAAAATATATGAGAATTATTTTCAATGGGAAGAAGGGAAGAAAAGAAACGAAATGGCCTTGTGGGTTATTTTTTTAGAACAATTTCGTTTGGATGAGGAATTGTAACGTATCAATTAGACACAATTGTCTCGTTTTGAGACAATTGTACCAAATTGCCTCGTTTGCCAGCAAAAAATTTGGATGGGTCAATTTGCCAGAGGTATTTTGAATTGATCCATTTTGAGTCAATTTCAATTACCTGGGGTGGGGCAGGTAATCAGCGGCGGATCCAGGACATAGTAAAGCACTGGACCGTATTTGAATGAAATATTAGATATCATAAATAAAAGTATATAATAAATAAATCTTCATTCGTTAATCCCAATTTTCTTAGAAGGTCGTTAATTTCACAAATCCATCAATAATAAAATCTCCATGTGGACTTTCGTTTAGAGGTTTTTTATAGCATACATACTAATTATCAATCAAACATTTTCCGCATATTTAAATATTAACCAAACCTTTGAAAATATTAGACAAATAATAACTTTCAATTAGCAGTTTTGTTAGTATTATTGACTTGGCAACATTATACTGACTCGGAAGAAACACATCGAGGCCAGCATTCCAAAACTTTTTAGTATTTTAAATAAGAAAATAGTTAACAAATTATGAACGATAACAGAAAATTGCTAATATTTTGATGCATTGCAAAAAATTTGGCTAATATTTTGTATTTCGAAAGGTATGGCTAATATTTAAAAATGCAGGAATGGCTTGGCTAATAATTAGTATTTTTTTTTAATGAAACTTTATACTTAGTCTTTTACATTTCAGGTTTTTAGATATTTTTTTTTTCAAAAGGAAATCATTCGGACTTGAATTTCTAAGCTAAATTTAGAGTAGTGGTTTGGATATGAGACAATTTTTCTAATTACACAAAATATCATTTTCAAATAACACTCGACCGACTTCTAAATATCACTGGATCAAATACCCAACATCGAGAAATTTATAAACATTGTACTAACTCTGAATCCAGAGGAGGGCTGGGCCGTGGCCCAGCCCTAGATCCGCCGCTGCAGGTAATTCGAATTGTCTCGTTTATAAAACGAGACAATTGATCAAATTGACTCATTTATAGATTGATCCATCCAAACGAGGGGTCGTTTGGATGAGGAATTGTAACGGATCAATTTGACACAATTGTCTCGTTTGCCAGCAAAAAATTTGGATGGATCAATCTGCCTGAGGTATTTTGAATTGATCCGTTTTGAGTCAATTTCAATTACCTGGGGTGGGGGCAGGTAATTCGAATTGACTCGTTTTAATGGTCTCGTTTATAAAACGAAACAATTGATCAAATTGACTCATTTCTAAATTGATCCATCCAAACGACCCTCAGTGGCCCAGCTTGACTCAGTGGCCAAACTAATTTGACTTGTATACTTGGGCAGACCCAGTGGCCCGGCAGGGCCCAGCTTGACCCGCGTGCGTCAGAAAAGGTCAATGATTGAATAGAGTCGGGCCAAGACAAGAAAAATACTCGGCCCTATCCAGCTAGGTTTGACCCATGACCCAAAAAAACCCTTATTACCCGACCCACTTTCACAGCTAGTCGTCAAGGCCAATAATCATCTACATGGCTTCCAACTCCAATACAATTCTTAAAAAGTAAAATTACCAAATCTTCATATAATTTGTAAGTTTATCAAAACCATTAAGAGGATTCTGATATATTATGTTAATAATTTGTAAGAATTACACACATTTCAAATAAATTACATATCATCGTACTGTAAAAAGGGTACGCAAAGTTTGTAATTGTAAAAGTTACAAATGTCTTAGCAATTGAAATTGAAGGGTTTTTAAGAAGATAATAATGTTGCTTAAAATGTTACCTAATTCAAAGTAGTTAAAAATATGTGTAACATTCCGTAAAGTGACACATTTTGCAAAGCAATGAAACTTTGTAAGAGTTGTCTAGAGCAACTTGTAAAGTGACACATTTATGACATCGTTTTACGTCACTGGGTGCCGATCGGCTTTGGCCAAACGAGCAACCCACCAAACCCGCACATAATAAAATTGGGTTATTGGCAGGAGGGTTGGTGTGATGTCATATTTGTAAGAAGTTCAGAAATTTTGTTAAACATTTGTAATTTATAACTTTACAAATAGGATTTGTAAAGTTACAAATCGTAGAGGCTGCTGGCGGGAGGGCCAGACGAGGTGATATTTTTAAGCTGCGAAATTTTGTTATAACTTTGTAATTTGTAAATTTACAAATAAAGTTTGTAAAGTTACAAATAAAGTTTGTAAAGTTACAAATCTTATTGGTTTTCCGACGGGAGGGTTGGATGAGGTGATATTTGTAAAAAGTTAAAAAAATTTGTTAAGAATTTTTAATTTGTAACTTTACAAAATGGATTTATTTGTGACCTTAAGTGTTAATTAAAGTTAAACTGCAGGTTAGTGTTTGACATATGTTCATTAAGATAACTTACCGGATTATAATCCGAAGCAAGAATTTGGTGGAGCTCCTCGATTGTACGGAAAGAGTTATATAGATATTGTCTGATTTTGTCCTCCGTATCAAACACAACAGGGATATACCTTGCTGAACCAACCTCAGTGGCATAACTGAGAAAAAATTCAAATCAATATCAACAACTAAAATAGCAAAGATGATCATTAAACATTCTGAATATAAGGAGATAAACATAAACCCACACGCATTACCGTAGTTTTAGAGCATCAGCCTCATGAATAAGTGGATTGACAACTACACCTGTGCCAGAAGTGCTAGATCCGTTAACCTCTCCTGCAATACGCTTATACATCAAACACAGCACAACATATCACCGCAAAAAATCAAACTATTAAGAATAGGAAAACAAACCACGGAGTTGAGTCATAGTGAGACCACCAAACGCCAATACAACAGCCTCATTACGATCGAGGTCAACCAAGGCCCGTGCATCAAGTATTGATGAAAATGATCCCCACATCCAAATACATAGAGAAATCCCGCTGCAGTAAAATAATTATAAGAAACAAAATAAAGTAAGCAAATTAAATAGGAAACCCAAAGAGTTAAAACGAAGTAGACACCCATAAATAATCAAGAACATACGTATCTATGATCTTTGATGGTAACTTTCTGAACAGTAGTAATACCTCCTTTGACCTCACAATCATTGATTGATTCAGTGAACTAATATAGTTTGTTCAGAACCCAAAAGAAGTAAAACTTATTCAAAGGACCCGTCGTATTTCCCCAAGAAGCCAATAGTAACAATTGCTTATTGGACGAATCCACCGTATTGATTATGGGTAGGGTATGGATGACGTATATATGAGTTTCGAAGTTTGTCGATGAATTTGGACAGAGTATGGATATTTCCTTTCAAGGGTGTTTTAATTACACATACAAAAATTATACCTATTTGTAGAACTTCAAACGTTTAGGTACTAAAATGTAACACAAAAAAATTTAGGTACTAAAATAGTATGTTCCATCAATATTTGAGGACTTATATGCCCAAAAAATAAATTTAGGTTATAAATCTAAAGATCTATTAAGTTTAGTTACCAAACTGTAATTTGCATAGTTGAGGCTTAATTGTTTATTTATGGTGATGTATTTAAGATATTAATTATTTATATTTTTTATAGAAAATATGAAACTATTTATTTTATATATATAATTGTTGAAAATTCCATTTATAATTGTTAAAAATTCTAGTGTGGGTGAAAAAGAAAGACTCTATAGAGAAACAAAAAGAATACAAACTGGAACTCACTTAAAATTTCACACCTTCAAATCCTATAGTGGAAAATTACGACTTTCTAATTAGTAATTACCATGTATATTTATTTTTAATTGGACACAACATTGAGCTGAAAAAGATAGTGGTTCATTGTTAAATTATTAATTCTCTAAAGTGTTGGTCAGTCGTGTATGGACTCATTCATACTTGTGATTAGAATACATAAAAATCGTAATTAAACCATAAACTTTCTCAGCTCAATGTCGAGTCCAATTAAAAATAAATATATATGGTTATTACTTATTAGAAAGTCGTCATCTTCGAATATGGGATTTGAAGGCATGAAATTTTTCACTCGGGCTAGAATTTTCAACAATTATACATGGAACGTTGGACTAGGTATCTACACATCAAATAAATAGTTTTCATTTTTCTATAAAAAAGTAAATAATTATCATCTTAAATACATCACCATAAAAGGTATTAAGCCTCAACTATGCAAATTATAGTTTGATACCTAAACTTAATAGATATTTAGATTTATAACCTAAACTTGTTTTTTTTTTTTTGCATATAAGTCCTCAAAATATTGATGGAACATTATATTTTAGTACCTATAATTTTAGTGTATTATATTTTGGTACCTAAACTTTTGAAGATCTACAAATAGGTCTAATTTGTGTATGTTGAATTAAAGCACCATCGAATAAATGGGTATTCATACTCAACTCATACAATTTAGATTACGTAAGTAAATATCAATACCCTACCAAAACCCATCTACAAACTTCAAAACTCATATATATGTCACCCATACCCTACCCGTGATCAATGGGTCTACTTGGGTTTAGCTATATATCATTTTGCTATCCAAAAATTTCAAAATATTTTGAATTGGATGTTGACCGTCATATATCTCCTCATTCAATATCATAATTTCAAGTCAATATTACTAATACAACTGCTAATAAAAAGTTAATTTTGGACTAATAATACGAACAAAAGGGCACTACAAGAAAATTGGTTTTTAGAGGCTAAACTACAGTGACAAATATTTTAAAAGCCCTTAAAAGTATCATGTAGCAGCAAATACATAATGTGCAACACACCAAATGTTAAATGACACACCAAATGTTAAATGAATTTGAAACAAAACTGTGGTTAGTTTTTACTTTTACGACGTTATATGTGCATATCCTCAAGGTTTTCCATCTTCGTATTTGCTTATGTACTATTCTATGGTTTCAGTTACAAACTGAAGCTGTTGGTGGTCGATGATACTGGTGAGTCCACGTTTGCACTCATCGGTTCAACGGCTGAAGCTATTATTGGTGTCCCGGCATCCGAGCTAATACGAGGCATTCCCTCATGGGATTGGTGAACTTCCACCAATAATCGAACGAACTTCGTGGTAGGGAAGTGGTTTTTGAGGTACAAATGCCACGCCTAATATATTCTACTCTGTCTCCCGAGCTTCGGATAATACGCATGGTAGAATCTGATGGATCAGTTGCGAGAGTTTTACCACGACGTGTTGTTTCTACCAACAGGTAGGTTACATTACATGGTGGTTTTACTGTGTTTGTTTATTTTAATGGTCATCATTCCCTTTGCCTTCCTTATGTATTTTCACCTAAATCTCATGTGTAGGCCCAACGTTTCTGGCTTTAGTTCAGTAGCGCCTACACAGGCAGGCATATTCTACCTCTGCCACTGTTATTGGCTCCACTTCAAATGGGTGTTCAGTGACAGATTCTACCTCGACCCATGTTCGGTAAGAGCAAGAGCACGATGAATTCGAATTGTTTTACTGCTGATTATGATGCATTTATGACTTGTTATCTTTTTATTGTAGTTTGAATGGCAAAGGAAAAGTTGGGGTTTCAATTGGTGGGAATATTGTTTGTAGTAGATGAAGTTGCAGCCCCGACCGACGATCAGAGGAACTCAAATGATTCAGGTGGAGTACTTCGTGGTAAAGGAAAGCGTGCTATAGGGGAAAAGGTAATACTAGACGCGGAAAGCGCTATATATGCTCATGTTGCTGAATCTAGGGTTACAATTGCCAGTGCTACTCAGTCGAAGGATCAATCTGATGTGACAGATATGGAGTGCCAACATGTTTCTCTGCATCTACTCAAGGTGACCTCTTTGATGTTGTTCGAGTTGGTGCATCTTCTTCCCCAACAATGAGTGGCAGTGTTGTTGTGTCTGACGCCACGAATGCTACTCTGCCCGTTGTTCGTAACAACGAACAACGTGTCATCCGCTTCGTTTGATTCCCCTCTCAAGGTGTTCAAGTAAGGAGCAAGTCTTTGTGAATATGTATGTTTGGAGACATGGTTGTCTTTTGTTTTGTCGATGATCAAGGGTTGTTTTGGGAATGTGAGGCGAAGGGACCAAATTATATTGACTTCCATTCCGTCTTAAGATATAAAGTCATGTGGCACATATACCTTCAGATTTAGTAGTATATAGTAATAAGAAACGGACTAATTTTAACTCTTTGGAAAACAAAATGCCTTTATTCAGATTTTGCATATATTTCCAAGTGCCCGATTGTATATGTGCATTTAATCACAGCGATAATAAGAAACTAATCGTAAGTCTTCGGAAAACAAATGCCTTTTTTATTCAGGTTTTGGATTAGATTCCCCATCGCCCGATTGTATACGTGAATTTAATCATAGCAAATCCAACTCATTATCAGTTACATAAAAACCGAAAAACTCTTATGAGCTGCTTGGAGTTTAATTTTCCTTTATTGAAATCGCTTTAACTGCTAAATAAATTGTAAAATTTTTATTGTTTTTTTTATTTATTCAAAAAATATTTGTTGTTTGATAATTGGAAATTTTTAACATTAAATAGAGAATAAAAAAATCCAATTTGTTTTATTTTTAATGACATGTCAAGTGAGTTATGAGAACTTAATGGTAAGAATTTTTAAGGTGATAAAGAAAAGGGAACATAAGATAGAGGACGTAAATATCACCAATAAATATATATAATATATCTGAAATTAGAGTTTTGTGAAATTAATGATAATTAAGTTTATATAAAAAGGTCTGAACAGTGGGCTTTGCGTGCTCTCAAGATACTAGAACTTGAGCTTTTCGGCCCAACTTTTGAAGTCCAAAACCATCTCTCAGCCCATCCTTTTATTTTCTGGTAATAAAGCTCAGCCTAACTTTACTACTACCAGGCCCACATAAGCAATTCTGAACTGGTAGGGAGATGTTGACACGCATTCTTACCACCGGCCACGTGGTCCCACATCCAGCTGCCACCCACGTAGTAATACTTTGGGCGAATGACGAAACCCGACTGTTTGAGACTTGCAAGATCTCAAAAATTTATTCGGATTCAAAAAATGGAGGCCGCAAACTTTTTGAGATCTTGCAACCCGCAAACCGCCGGGTCTCGCCTTTTGTCAAACTTTGGGCGGCCATAACTTTGTGCTCCAAATTCCAAATGTTATGAACTTTTTTTTGATTCCGCATAAATTTTCAAGATCTACAACTTTTAATATAATCATAATTTCAAAATGTACATGGATTTCTGAAAAGTAAAGGTAAAGTTATTCTCAAGGTCCCGTATATCCACAAATAGTTCCTGTTTTGAAAATTTCATCCTAGTAAAAGTTGTAGATCTTGAAAAGTTATGAGAAATGAAAAAAAATCGCTACGATCGGATACCCGAGTGCAAAGTTACGTTCGTTTGAAGTTTCGACCGAACTTTTGGACCAAACCGCTGGTTGGGGTGGCGGTTTTGGGCCAAACCGCCACCCCACCCAGCGGTTTTGGTCCAAATTTTTTTTTTTATAACCGCCCCCTAGGCCCACGGTTTGGTCCAAAACCGCGCCCCCGACAAGCGGTTTTCGACCAAACCGCTGGGTGGGGTGGCGGTTTTTGAAAAAGGGTGGTATTTTTGGAATTTTTTGGGGTTGGGTGGTATTTTTGGAAATTTTTTTGTAAACAGTGGTACTTTTGGAATTTTTTCCTTGAAACGGAGTCATCCATCCCATTAAAAGTTTTGTAGCCAAGACTACTGTATGTGTAGATGGATCTGTGATGTCATCAGGATGTTTACTAGCTGGGGAATTATCCTATCCAATCCTGTGTTGCCAGTTTCTCCAGAAACAAACTTTTACGTTGGCGAACAATCAAGTGATTCTTCCCCACCACAATTCAACAATACCATACTTGACTTTGGTGCTCCCAGCTTGACATAATGACATGCCGATATTGTGGTGCTGCATTTTGGCCAGCAGAAAGACTCAACAAACGTAGTTCCACCTCACGGCCAATATATTCACTTTGCTGCCAGAAAGGAAAGGTGTCGTTACCTCTACTGCCGCCAACTCCAATATTCTTGGACACTTTGCTAGACATAAACGGGGGGAGAGGAATCAAAGCATTTCAGACAAGAGATTCGATCGTATAATGCATCTTTTTCATTCACTTCATTTGGGGCAAAATTAGATCCCCGTTTGCTGAATTCTAGAGGCCCTTAGTCCTTGATCCTGTGTGGGGAAAACTACCACTATATGGGGTCTTTACTTCCTCCAGCAGGTGAGCGACCTAAATATGCCCAATTATATGTACTTGATCCGGCTTCAGAAACCATGAACCGACTAGCTAATTTCTCCTCCGAAAACCACCGATTGCGACCACATATCATACAAGGACTTCAGGACATGCTAGATCAGCACAATTGCTTGGTGCAAAGTTTTCGCTCCATCAGAGTAGCACTTGGTCAGCCTGGAAACCAACAACTACGAGTTCGCATATCTGGTAGCCGAGTTCGCACGTGTATTTAAAATGAAGTTGGATAGTTTGATACATGACATCACTAAATGCCACTTCTTCGGCCGCACGCGAGCAGGTTAGTGCACTTCTATCAATAGACAAATTTATGATAGTATGCACATCAAGTATTGTTATCAAACTAACCCGTTTAATGATAATAATATGGCAGTTATGTACACAGTGGAATACCAGAAAAGAGGCCTTCCACACGTTCACATACTTGTGTGGCTACAAGACGACGATAAACCAAAAAGTATATCGGACATAGATAGAATCATATCCGCTGAAATACCAGATCCAAACATTGATCCAGTTGGATACACTGCTGTCTCCCAGTTTATGATCCACGGTCCATGTGGGAATTCAAATCCAACATCGCCTTGCATGACTGAAGGGAAATGCAAGAAATACTTTCCAAAAGATTTCTCCTCCGAAACCACTTATGATGAGCATGGCTATGTCATCTATCAACGGCAAAATACAGGTATCACGGTGGAAAAGTCGGGGCAAATTATGGACAATAGGTCGGTGGTCCCATTCAACAGAGATTTATTAGTCAAATATCAAGCGCATATCAATATTGAGATATGCCACAAAGGACGATTAATAAAATATCTCTTCAAATACGTAACGAAAGGATCAGATCGACAGATAATCATCGCTGAGCGTCAAACTGAGCATGAACAACCACCCACCGACACAATGGAGAAACCGGTAGATGAGATTGCACAATATCTCGACTGCCGATCATTATCATCATATGAAGCTGTTTGGCGATTATTTGAATACCCAATCCATGAGAGAGTACCAAATGTGGTTCGCTTATGTGTTCATTTACCAGGAGAACATAGTATCACTTACAAAGCCGATCGACCGTTGGATGAGATTGTCAATCGTCCCGATGTTGGAGAAACAATGCTGACACAATGGTTTGCACTTAACAGGAGATCTTCAACAGCAAGAAAACTCACCTATGTCCAAGACCCCAACCAATTTGTATGGCTCGCAAATGTTCCCACATGGACTCCCAGAAAAAGAGGTTTCGCAATTGGTCGCATTACATACGTTCCTCCAAGTGCCGGAGATGTATTTTACCTACGAATGCTTTTGGGAAAAGTTAGAGGAGCTTTTGATTTCGACCATTTACGCACCATCAATGGTCGACTTTGTGCTAACTATAAAGAAGCATGTCAATTAATGGGTCTTCTCTCCACCGATGACGAATGGAATGCAGCTATGGCAGAAGTTAGCAGATGGGGCCAACCAAATCTGGTGAGAAGCATTTTCGTATCCCTCTTAATATTTTGCCAGATATCCAATCCTTTGGACTTATTAAATCGATGGTGGGAAGCAATGTCCGACGACTTTTCTTATCGACTCCAACAGTTATCTGAATATCCAGGGCAACAACCCCCAAGAGAAGGACTCTTTAACGAAGTCTTGCACAGTTTGCAAAATCTTTTGAATCAGTACTCAACAAGTCTATCACATTTCAATCTCCCAACACCAACAATGGCACCCAACAGTCATTTCGAACAGGACTTGATCTCACAACACACTAATTATGACTTACAATATGAGAAGATACAAGCCAAACGACTCCATGCGTCACTCAACCGTGATCAACTGGCAGCGTATGAAGAAATCATAAACTCCACAAAGCAAGGCACATCAAATCTATTTTTCATTTACGGCCATGGAGGAACAGGAAAGACTTATCTATATAATGCACTCACATCTAAAATAAGAAGCGAAGGAAAAATTGCATTAGTAGTTGCATCATCAGGAATCGCAGCAACTCTTTTGCCAGACGGAGTCACCGCCCATTCCAGGTTCAAAATACCTATAGAAGTCGACCACTACTCAACATGCAGCATTAAAAAGGCAACTCAACTAGCAGAACTACTTCGTGCCTGCACGATAATAATATGGGATGAAGCTCCAATGATACATCGCCTATCCTATGAAGCAGTTGATCGGACACTCTGTGATATAATGAATGTCCCAACAATTGGACCACAATATAAACCATTCGGAGGGAAAACGGTAGTCCTTGGAGGAGACTTCAGACAAACATTGCCTGTAGTTACGGAAGGTGGACGTGAAGCTAATCTCAACGCATGTCTTACAAGATCATATCTATGGAAGTATACAAAATTACTCAAACTCACCATGAATATGCGCATCATCAGTGACCCCGTAAATACGGCCACCAACTTCAACGACATGACCTTCACAGAATGGGTGCTTTCAGTAGGAGACGGGACCCTTCCCACTCAAAAAATACAACACACCACTGAGAACGATTGGATACAAATTCCATCAAGCTTACTAATACCGGAGTCAGACAACCCAATCTCTGATCTCGCAAACATTGTTTATCATGACCTGCCAACATCATTTGGATCAATGGCCTACATCAAGCAAAGAGCAATTGTGACTCCAACGAACCAAGCGGTATCCGAAATCAATTCATATTTACTCAATGAAATCCCAGGTGATCCAAAAACTTACTACAGCTCGGACACAATAGCATCAGAAAATGCCAACACATCAATCTTGCAGGAACAGTACCCGCCCGAGTTTTTAAATAGTTTGTCGTTCAACGGAGCTCCAGAACACGAGATAACATTAAAGCCATTCACGCCAATAATGCTACTTCGCAATCTCAGTCCATCAAATGGATTATGCAATGGTACACGAATACTGGTTACAAAACTGGGTGAAAATGTTATCTACGGCCTGATCATTGGCGGAACACTAGAAGGATCACCTGTAGCGATACCAAGAATAGTATTAGAAATCACCAATCGTCGATGGCCATTCACCCTCAGACGCAGACAATTTCCAATACGTTTGTGCTATGCTATGACAATAAACAAAAGTCAGGGACAAACACTTGAACAAATAGGTGTGCTACTAACCAGACCAGTATTCAGTCATGGACAATTATATGTAGCAATATCGCGCGTGCGATCAGCCAAAGGATTACATATAGCCGTGGCAAACACTGATGGCAAATACCGAGACTTCACAAGAAATATTGTATATAGAGAGGTATTTGAAGAATTAGAATAGACAATATATAACGGCCACATTAAATACGTAAAAACCAAAAATAATTATATGTCAACGGGCAACCAGCCAACCACCTCACAGTACCTAATACACGCGCGGCAGAGCGCGCATTACAGCCTAGTAATTATGAACTGATCAGTCTCATTGTGGTGTTAATACAATGCAATGCCCCTATTTTCTAATGATACTGAAGAATTATAAGGGTTAATACACTAGGAAATCCGAACTATCAAGAAAGTGTCACTTGTGTCCCGAATTATTCAATATTCCATTTCTGTCATGAACTATTATTCTGTTAGTGTTGACCGACACTGGCCCTTAGAATTTAACATAAAGTCTAGTCAGCAGCGTTGTTGTAAAAAAATAAGGCTTAATTGCAAGTTTGGTCACTCGAATTGCTTAAAAATTTCACGTTTGCCACCCGAATTGATTTATTCCATTTATAGTCACTCGAATTAGTTGAACAGTCCAAGTTCGGTCACTCTCCGTTAACCTCCGTTAGACTCCGTTAATGACGACCGTTAAGTGATGACGTGGCTAACAGAAAGACACAGTCAGCACATTTAAACATTAAAAAACGACGACCCGACCCGACCCGCCAGCTCACCCTTACCCGCCCAGTCAGCCATTCTTGCCCAAACCCGCAAACCAACCCAATTAATTGACCCTAAACCCAAACTCGAGACCCAACCCCCCCTGAATTGTAAATCGCAGATGGATGAGGGCATTTCTTTTCTCTCCCTTTTCCCCCTTTCCCTTTTCACTCAGCTCTCATCTGAGCTCCGAGAGGAAGAAACAGAGAGAGCAAAGGCGGAGTCTTTTTCACGTTCTCACACAATGCCCATTCCTTCCTCCTTCGTCTTCGTCTTCTTCTTCCTATTCCTCTGCCTCCTCCACCGCCGCTCCACCGCTTTCCCCGTCCGCCGCATTCTCCACCAACCCTTCTTCCCGCTCGACACCCTCCCACCCGCACCATCCCCTTCATCCCTCCCCCCACCACCGCCTCCCCCTACGCCGCCGGCGAAACTCCCTTTCTCCAACACCGGAACCCCAACCGCCACAAATCCCGCCTCCCCATTCTTCCCGATCTACCCTTCCCCGCCTCCACCGCCGTCCCCCTCCACATTCGCTTCCTTCCCGTCGAATCCTGCTGCAGCCGTTGAGTCTCCCGTCATGGGGAAGATGGATTCGCCGGTGCTCCGGCCGCTCCCGCCGCTGAATCGGCAGAATCCGGATGGTTTTGGATCCCTTGAGGATGATGGGGAAGAGGAGTTTTATTCTCCCAGAGGGTCGTTGGGCGGCGGAGGGAGGGATAGTTTGGTCGGGGTCGGATCCGGGTCGAGTAGGATGTTTCGGGATATGGGTGGGCCGGGGCCGGATTTTGGAGAAGGGGGAACTACTGATTCGACTTCTTGTTCTTCCGATTCGTCATCTGGATCTCCGGCGAGGTCTCAGTCGGTTAGCATTTCTCCTCCCGCGAGTTTGTCCCCGCGGAATAAGAGCAAGACGTCCCCTGAATCTGCTCGGGTCGTTTATCCGGGTCCGGGTCCTGCTCCTACTCTGCCGTGCCCGCCGATGCCACCACGGCGGTATGAGAACGAGTTGTTGTCGTCTGTGATTTACAATTCAGGGGGGGTTGGGTCTCGGGTTTGGGTTTAGGGTCAATTAATTGGGTTGGTTCGCGGGTTTGGGCAAGAATGGCTGACTGGGCGGGTACGGGTGAGCTGGCGGGTCGGGTCGTCGTTTTTTAATGTTTAAATGTGTTGACTGTGTCTTTCTGTTAGCCACGTCATCACTTAACGGTCGTCATTAACGAAGTCTAATGGAGGTTAACGGAGAGTGACCGAACTTGGACTGTTCAACTAATTCGAGTGACTATAAATGGAATAAATCAATTCGGGTGGCAAACGTGAAATTTTTAAGCAATTCGGGTGACCAAACTTGTAATTAAGCCCCATTTTTTTTTAAGACAATGGGAAAATTCAACTCGGTTGGAGCTTCTATTACCTAAATTTCTTACTTGGATGATATGACATTGAGTTCACATGCGATGAATTGTTAACCACTCAGCAACAAAGTAACTCCAAAGTCTCATATAAAGTTGTCTCTAAATTTTCTAAGGCTATTCCCATTGCCTCCTCGGTGAGGGCTTGCATAAGTTTTCCCCAACAATGTATGATCAAATTCATGGTTTGTTCAGCAAATAGTATGCCAATCGATCTGACTTCCGCACTTTGACTAGACTTGACATTCAAATATTATAACTATGTTCCAAATACATAATAAATGCTTCGATGACAGAAAAATTGTTCTCGTTGTCTCATCCAATCCTCCCACCTTGTCACTGATAATTGCATTTGGATATGAATGATAGGTTCATGAAGGTTTTTCAAGTGCCCCAAAATTCAGTACTATGTTTCCTTTATCTTGTTGTATATTAGAGCAGATGCAACGTTGAAGTTTAGTCCCCATGGGTGTCATACCAACAATCTCAAAGTACAACAAATCATACTTGTTGGTCTTGTATGTTGCATCTATCACAATGACATGATATCGAACTTGAAACATTATAAGAGATTCAGGGTATCCTAGGAAGATGAGTAAGCATGTTACGGTCTGACTCATATACAACTTAGTAGTTCTTATCTCGAGCATCGCAGAAAGTCCACTACAAGGCTCTCATATCACCCAAACCCAGAACGTATCTCCTTATCTTTCTCAACTCGTTACAAATTTGTGTGATGATATGGTGACCTTCATCCTCTGTTTCGTTATTGATATCTTTCAAACTATTTTTTGATGGGAGACCCGTCCAAAATTCTAGAAATCAATTGTATTCACTCATATTTGGAACCCTAGAATTGCCTTAAGGTTCCACTAATCTAAACAACAAAAGTTTTAGTTGCACATTATTGGAGATTAAGACATGATTACAAGGTAAAGATGAGCACTCTCCTTTGCTATTGGGGAACTAAAAAAGTGAATTTTTTGTGCCAAAAAGAATCCCCCTTACTTGGCTACCATTTTACACATTTTGTACAGCCTGGCACAAGCAAGACTGATAGGAAAACCACTAAAACCGGCAGTGTCCCCGCCAAAATTTAGGGGTCGTTTGCTTGTGGGATTTGGGTGATGGATTTGGAACCCAAATCTCAAGCATTATGGAGTTGACACAAATCCTTTGTTTGTTGAGGGACCCAAATCCACGGATTTGGAACCCTTTTTTAGATCCAAATCCGTGGACCCCACGGATTTGTAAATCCCACATTTCACTTGAGATTTGACAATAGAAAGAAAAAATGTGAGACAAATCTGTTTCAGCCAAGAAACAAGGAAGGCGCCCAACCTGTGAAAGTGCGGGGTTGGCCCCGATTATCTACACTCCGACGATCAACATTAGTGAACTCATAAGGGAATAGGAAGAGCAAAGATAGAGAGAGATTGTATAGAGAGATAAGTGATATCCCAAAAATGAGAAGGAGAGGAGAGATCCCCTTACTTGGAGTGCTTAGTAGTGTATTTATAGGCCAAGCTTGCTTTCTCCATGTGGGCTTTAGTTGTAGGATCATGAAGGTACCTTGTGGGTTTGGGCCCATACATACTTGGTGGATTGTAGTTGTGGTTTGGGCTGGGCTAAGCCATGTTTAATGGCCCAACAATTGTCCCCCAGTTAGGTATCCAGTAGCGAACTGGATGCCTAACTAGAAGTCTTTGCCTTGCAGACTTTACTACGAACTTAGAGTTGAACGCTTGATTGCTTAAGCGCCATCTTGTCCCCTGGTTTAGCTTACTCATGTCCCCCAACATCATGTTGGCCGAACAATCTCGAAATAAGAACTTTGCAAAGAATCAATCAATAAAACATGATATGACTCATAGAAGAATTAACTCAAATTGTGGCAAGTAACGTATTGTACCCATGACGTCTGCAAAATCACGACATTTTAGGCTCCCAGTTGAGGACTTATTTGCATTACACATAAACTTACTTCTCTTTCGACGTCCCACAAGGTTATGGCGCCCTATGAACCTATCTGGAGATTCATTTTCTCTAGACAAGATTTTGAAGTTGCATGTTGTCCCTCCAATTATCCCCAAGACCATAATAGCTTAGGAACTCAGAGAAAAACTATGTAGAGAATTATCAATGTAACATAATGTGACTCATAACATAGTTAACCATATAACTCAAGCAATGAAAAATTACTGATTGCACTTACGATGTCTAACAAGACTATGGCATTCTAGAGGCAAAATTGGAGATTTATTTTGCTTCGAAAAATCATGAATCCACATGTTATCCCCTATTGTCCCCCAGTTAGGCGTCCCGTGGTACACTGGACGGCTAACTAAAAGTCCTCCGATTTGTCAAACTTCACGTAAGATACTGTGAGATTTTGTCCCCCAATTCTTACTCCCCACACCATCTTAATTAAATGACGTAAATGATCATAAAAACATGAAGTAGCACACTATAATTTGAGTATGAATTGGTTAGGAAAATAACGCGAGTAGTGATAGAAAATACTTAGCTTATCTCTTGATGTGCCTCCTTGTACATGTATGCCGAAATATGAATCATATGAGTATTTTCATACCAAAGCGCCTGGCTTTACGAGCATTATGGACGCCTGTCTTGACCAGAGAGAATACTTCCAATCAAGGCGCTAAGTTTGAGCGCGAAGTGTATTTTGATCAAGGATGCTAAATTTGGGGCAGAGAATATTTGCAATCAAGGGCGCCATATTTGGGCCCTAAATGTATTTCAACCAAGGGCGCTAGATTTGGGCGCATGGAATATTTCAAACAAAGGCGCTAGATTTGGGCGCGAAAAGTTTTTCCAACCAAGGGCGCTAATTTTGGCGCGAAGGCTGCTTCCAGCATGGGCGCTAATTTTGGGCGCGGAGATTATTTCCCAGGAAGGGCGCTAGATTTGGGCGCGAAGAATATTTCGCAACCATCAAAATATTTGGTGTATGTAAAATTAAATTTCACAAAGT